GGCCTGCCTTAAAGGTATAGGCGCCGCGCTCGCCGCAGGTCGCCCCCGCCCCCGCCAGCGCGCCCGCGATTTTATTGTTCTCTTTGCGAACATCTTTCGTCCTCTCCCGGGTCCGGCCCGCGCCCGCGCTCCAATACGCGGACCGACCCCGGCGCGCACGCCTTACCTTTCTAGCCCTCACCTCCGCAAGCCCTTGGGTACCCGCGAAAGCGTTTCTTGGCCGCCTTGGGAGCTGAAGTGCTGCTCGCCCGCGAGCAAAAGGGTTTAGCACGAAAAGCGACCTCACCTCCGCGGCCAGCCTGAACTCGCTTCTCGGGTCAGAAACCTAAGTGTCCAGATAGCCTTCGCGGAGGGAAAGGAACTTTCCTAATGGAGTTTTCTCTGGGAGCGGATGAAATGTTTAAGTAGCTGTTTCTCAATGGCCCCTCCGGCCTCCTGGGCGGTGGCAGGTGACCTCTTTGGAGTAGAAGCCGGGAGCGCGTTATAGGGCGAGCCCGCGCTCTACCCGCGAGTCGCGGGAGCGAATGCGCTCTGGCTAAGCACAGTCAGCGCCGCACTCGCCCGGCCCGTGGTTCCCTCAGAGCGACTGGGGAGAATTTAAAAGGGGGGCAATGTCTTCATAATTAGGGGGAAAGTTTCCAACTAGTTTATAAAAGTGTATGATGCCCCAAGGTTTTCTGCCGACTCCCAAAAGGCTTTCCTTCCCATCCGCATCAGAAATTGGCTGAAACAGATTCCGGCGTGAGCGCTTAGGAAGGAGTCGGGTCGCACTCGTGTTTGCTAATCTTGACCATCCCTTTAACTTTATCACATTTCTTTAAAGAAAATCTGCCTTGCCCTCTCTTTATTGCTACTCCATCCTTCTTTCAAGATCAAAAGCTTTAGATCAAAGCCAAGATCAAACTCACTACTTTAAATAGAAGCAACTTTGCCATGGAGTATTTTACACAAAGAGGAGCTTCTTAATGGAGACATCACAGTGGAAAACTTTATTTTATCCCTTCATCCCGTATTCACAACTGAGCTACTTAAAATTACATTGATGATGCACTTCTATTTTCTAAAATAAACAACAGGTCTGCTCAAATTGGGAATTCTTGACTTAATGTTTCCAGGAATACAAAACTATAGTTAGATATATTAACCATTTTGTATCCTTATTAGCTAAGTGCTACAAAAATGCATTCTCCTTTGCTAAGGATTTTTCAATGTTATCAGAAGTTCTTATATATAATGTACAACCATCATATACAATTTTTCTACCATAAAAGAAATGCATAAAAATAGTTACTGACTTACAAATATCTAGTGCACATACACATAAGCAGGTAAAACAGACAAATGATGAACTGGATTATGTAACTGCAGAGCAGATTAATTTTAAAAGGAAATAAAACAGCTTCCACGTTACTAATAACCGAAGGAAATTTAACTTTGGGTGGTGAACACGGAATGCAATATGCATGTGATGTGTTATTGAGTTGTACACTTGAAACCTATGTGATTTTATTAACCGATGTCACCCCAATAATTTTAATAATAAAAAAGCAGTTTCGGATTCAAAAGAAATCTATTACAGGCTGACATATCCACTAAAATTGTTTTCCCTGAAACTTCACCATCCCTAAGAACTCCGAAACAAACAGTTCAATACTGATGTACTAAACCAGTGCCCTGCCTAAATGGACTTTACTTAAGTGTCCTCTTTGTTGATTTAGCAACAATTTTAAAACATGTAGTCTTTAAAGAAACAAACAAACAAAAAAAATAAATAAATAAATTTCAAAAATCCAGTAGCAGGAATAAAGATAACTACTGCAAATTAAATCTTAGACTTCTATGAAAATCTGTTGTTACAGCTGGGTAGTTAGTACTTAAAGGCTTTCCTCGCCCCTTATAATTCTCACCTGGTTGCAGACACACACACAAACACACAAGCGATTGTTCCTCATTCTATAAATCCCACTGAGCCACTGGAAAGATCTTGGGAATTGAGACCTGGGAACACTTTCTTGCTGCCATTGACAGACTCCTTTTTTCCTAGCACCCAACCCATGAGAACCTAATTGTTTCTGGCATAAACTGAGGCAAGGAAACATCCCACTGTCACTGCTCTTCTAGTACTTGGAGTCGGGAGGGGAAGCAGTGGTCCATTCTAAGTGCCTCCTAACTTGTCTCTTTTATACTCTTGCCTCTCAACCCCACTCCCACAATCCATCCTCTATAGAGAAACCAGAACAATATTTGCAAAGGTAGTTCACATATCACTTTGCTTTACTGAGAATGTGTTTCCTTCTCTTCTTTGCCTAGTAGGCTCCTGCTTCTCTAGGTCTGGGCTTAAACAACACTTTCTTTACTCCCTGATCCAAATTATGTCACTCCACTATTCTTTCTAATAGCATCCTGTTTATTTCCTACAAAGTGCTTATCTTTTATAGCTATTTAACATTTTTATTTTTAATGAAGAGACTTTAGCTTTTACAGCAGTTAAAAAAATTTGCACTGAAGGCAGAGTTCTGATATGCCAACATAACACACAGTTTCCTTTATTATTAACATCTTGCATTCCTGTGGGGCATTTGTTACAACTTATGAACCAATATTTGATACACTATTATTAATCAAAATCCATAGTTTACATGAGGGTTCACTCTTTGTGTTGTACACTTCTCATAGCTATTTTTTAAATTAATTTTTTGAATGTCTGTTTTCCTGACTGGACTTTAAGATCCAGGAAGAAAGAGATTCTGTCTTTTGTTCTTGATTTTTGTCCAATCACTAAAAGTATGACCTGGCACATAGTAAATGCTCAATAAATATGTTAAGTGACTAAATATAAAGGGAAAGAAACAAAGGACTGAATGAAAGGCATGTAAAATTTCAAGGAGGGGAGTCTTAAGATGAAGATCTTTCTAATTAACTGTTAGTTTCTCCACTAAAAAATCTTAATTAATAAAGAGCAGAGAATTATGCAATTTTTGAAAGAGACCATGGGACATCAGTTATTGCTAGCGTACTTCTCAAATGACATTTTTTAGAAAAAAAAAAGGAACTGAGAAATAAAGGTTCCTAATTCCCTCATATAGTAATCACTAAAATTATATTCCAAATTGGTGTTAGGAGCTGAATGTAACAGAATAAAAATTTAACATATTGCATGACACTGGAAAAATATTAATTCTTGCTGTACTCAATATAATAACCTCAAAATATTTCTTCTTTTTGTCTACCTGAATCTCCCTTTCTTCAGGGGCTGACCCCAGTGAAGATAGGGTGTGGGGAAACTGGAGGAAGGTGACTTTTTAAAAACTGGAATTCTGTAGTCAAGGATGGATACTCTAATAACTACCTTTGAGAATGTGGTGAAAGCACTTGAAAGCTATCTTTCAAAAACAGATGTTTTCTATTTGAATTATGTCTATAAAAATGCTTTGTCCAGTAGAGATGCAAGTTTTGAAAGGAAGCTGTTCTAAGAAACTTTCTTGTCAAAGCAGTTTGTAATAGCTGAAGACAATTTTCAGAGGCTGAGGAAAATGCCATTGCTCTGAAATAAAAGCATTACTTAACCTAGCGGCTGGAGATTACTTTCGGAGGGAAAACTTTTTTCTGTTTTCTTCTGATTTGTTTTAGAGAAGAAATGACTTCTTTCATTGGAAAATGATAGTGACACCAATTTCATATTGTTTATATGGATGTGTGCTTCTGCCTCGTGATGAGGTACAATAGACAGAATGAAAAGCATCAGCATACCTTACTAGTCAATCAGAAGGCCAGAAGGGCAGACAAGGGGAGCCCTTTAATTAGACCAAACTACATCAGATGGCAAAGGACACACCCTTGGGCACTGTCCACTCTAAGAAGTCAAAAGACCTTTTAATACCAAACAAGGTAGAGAGGTCCTGAAGCTTTGGCTGGCTTCAGAAGGGCTCTATAGCCAACATGTATTTGGGGTGAATTACAAAGTAAGAGTCTATACAGGTCTGGAAATAAACTCAAGGTTAATTTAAGTTGCAAATAATAACAAGTAAAGATTAGGGGCAAAGCTATCGAACATTAATGACTTTAAGTTTTGCTCTATCGTTTTTTTAAATGTAACATTCCTTTATGCTATTTTTTAGCTGATTTTAGAAAAATTGTGTATAATTTATATTACTGCCCATGTTGCCTCTGTGTTAGAATGAAAACCTAACTTCTTTCTGAAGAGGATTTTGGCCCTGTTAAATGGACCTCTTAGTGGAAGTCCTTATAAAACACGGTTTTCTAAAAAGGAAATCCATCCCACTTTTGCTCTGCATTGACCTGGCTAACCGAACCTCTTTCTCTCAGTAACTATAACCCTGAGCTCACTGTTGCTCAAAACCTTATACAGAACTTGTCCGAGGGAGCATGCTCAGTTCTTTCATATCTTGACCCCTCCGCCCTTAGAACCTGATGAAACATTAGCTGTCAGCTATTAGCCCCCTACGGAAAAACACGGCTACATCACATGCTGTCCCCCCATCATTCCTCACACAAATCAGTTGTCAGGAGGTTCACAGGTTTTTTCTAATGCCCAAACTCCTACCTGAGATCTTCTCTGATCAGGGCAGACCACGATACAGCTGGCGCTGCACTGCGTCTTACTGGTGCTCTATGAAATTCCTTTTAATGCATTATATTCTAGTAAGGAGCCATCAACCTTTATAGCAGAGCCTTATAAGAAACGGCCCCATAAAATCCATCACAATGTTTACTGTAAGGATGG